GCCACGACCTCTAGCTATATTAGACAAAAGAATTAAAAAGAAAAATAATAGAGCTGTGACTGAGGTTTTAATTCAATGGAAGGAGACCAATCCAGAGGATGCTGTATGGAGAGAGCTACATAACATGCAAATTCAATCCCCAGACTTTGATTGGAGTTGTTAAAAAATGGCCTTGAGGTCAAGTCCAATATAGAAGGGAGGGGCAATTGTAATAGATAAAAATAGGAGGGTTGATATTTTAGGGGTTAAAATTAGAAAACCGTTATAATGGTTATGAGTTGTAATCAAATAAGAGTGGGAAAAGATCAAAACGAGTGTGAGTATGGGTTATATAAGACCCTTTGTGTATGTCATTGATTCTTATGAATAGAATTGTGATTTTCTTTGTTCCTCTTCAACCTTCATTGTTAAGAGTGAGTGAGTGCTGTTTGGAGCAGTGATTTTGTTTGTAACACTGTTAAGTCAAGTTGTGTTGGTGTATTTTCTACCTCTTCCTTCTTCTCTTGAAACTTGACACTTTCATGACTATTGTTAAGTTCGAGAGTTTTTTCATTATTCCCTTCCTTGGGAAGTCAAAGTAATTGACTTCTATTGGTTCAAAAGAGGGAGGGGATGTAGGAAAAGGTTACTTTGCTTGGTTTGCAGGGGATGGGAAGACGATTATATTATATCCTAATAAATAGTAATGAAGATGAGAGACAATAAAATCCCACAACAATTTGTCTGTGTAGTCCAAAAATTCCAAATCACCTTTCCTTCCATTTGAATCCCAATGTTAGAGGGAGGATGTTTTGTCTCTCTAATGTCCCCTTCCTCCTCTCCAAATTTCCTCTCCCTTTTCATTTCTCTCCAACCAAACAACAAATAAAACCCTAATTATGTTGTTTAGGAATGATTTTAGAGAGCAGCAAAAACCTATATAGGTTTATTATAGAAAGAAAAAGGGAAAGGGCATATTGTAAATTTTAGCTGATTGGGTCAAGCAATGTTATCAAATAACCATTATGGCACCGCCATAAAGGTATAATGTGGCGTTCTTGAACCCCTCTACCATTTGCTATCCGTTATTTCCCGTCATATTGCAGTGTCCGCCATATCCGCCATGGAACCCGCCATATCCGCCATGGCGCCCACTATATCCGCCATGGCTATGGCTTCATGGCGGAATTCCTCCTCATCCTTTTTTTTTTCTCATCTTTTCTCTTATGAAGCTCCTTAATTGCGAACAAACAACCATGATGAGCCTTCTTAGGCCACCAGCCTCCAACGACCTGAATGATAGTGGCCTAAGCTCCATAAAGTTTTCTGGCCAACAAATCCGGTGACCCATAAGTGTTCTTTTTGTTTTCTGTTTGTTTTTTCTTCTTCCTTCCATTTCTTTATTTTTCTTTGTTTTTTTCCATCTATTTTTCATTTCTTCAGATGTTCATCATCTCTTTCTCTCTCTCTCTCTTATTTTATGTGATTGTTCTTGTTCTTCATTTGTTCAATGTTTTTGTTCTCAGTTTTTCAAAATTTTGGAATTTAGTTATCTATATTTTAGAATTTCATTATCATGTTCTATTATGTTGTTTTCTATATTAAACCTATAATGTTGTTCCTAATTTTGTTTCATTTATAGCACAATGGTAAGCAGTAAGCACCCAACAATAAAGTTATGCATCCTAAAAGTCTATTTTTTTATTTTTGGTTTTGTTTTTAATATATATATATATATATAT